TGAGGCAGCTGTCCAGTACCGGCAGGCCAAGCGTGCCGCGGCCCGGGCTGTTGCAGAGGCAAAAACCCGGGACTGGGAGGAGTTCGGAGAATCCACGGAGCATGACTATCGGTCGGCCTCAAAGAGATTCTGGCAAACCATCCGGCGCCTCAGGAGGGGGAAGTAGTTCTTTGCCAACACCATGTGGGTGGAGAGCTGCTGACCTCGACTGGGGATATTGTCGGGCGGTGGAAGGAATACTTTGAGGTTCTCCTCAATCCCCCCGTCACGTCCTCTGTTACAGAGGCAGAGGCTGAGGATGTTGGGGCGGATACATCCATCTCCCTGGCAGAGGTCACCAAGGTGGTTGGCAGCCTCCATGGTGGCAAGGCTCCGGGTGTGGATGAGATCCGCCCTGATTATCTAAAGTCTCTGGATGTTGTAGGACTGTCTTGGCTGACACGTCTCTGCAAAATCGCGTGGCGATCGGGGGCGGTGCCAATGGAGTGGCAGACCGGGGTGGTGGTCCCTCTCTACAAGAAGGGGGACCGGAGGGTGTGTTCCAATTATCGTGGGATCACACTCCTCAGCCTCCCCGGTAAGGTCTACTCCCAGGTACTGGAGAGGAGGCTACGGCCGATGGTCGAATCTCGGATCCAGGAGGAGCAGTGTGGTTTTCGTCCCGGTCGCGGAACACTGGACCAGCTCTATACTCTCCATCGGATACTCGAGGGTTCATGGGAGTTCGCCCAACCTGTCCACATATGCTTTGTGGATTTGGAGAAGGCGTTCGACTGTGTTCCCCGGGGTGTCCTTTGGGGGGGGTTCTCCGGGAGTACAAGGTCGGAGGTCCTCTGCTGAGGGCCATCCGATCCCTGTATGACCGGAGCCAGAGCTGTGTTCGCATTGCCGGCAGTAAGTCAGACCTGTTCCCGGTGCATGTTGGCCTCCGCCAAGGCTGCCCTTTGTCACCGGTTCTGTTCACTGTATTTATGGACAGAATTTCTAGGCGCAGCCAGGGGTCGGAGGGGGTCCGGTTCGGAGACCACAGGATTTCATCTCTGCTGTTTGCGGACAATGTTGTCCTGTTGGCTCCAACGAACCAGGACCTGCAGCATGCACTGGGACGGTTAGCAGCCGAGTGTGAAGCGGCGGGATGAGAATCAGCACCTCCAAATCCGAGGCCATGGTGCTCGACCGGAAAAAGGTGCCTTGCCCTCTACAGGTGGGTGGAGAGGTCCTTCCTCAAGTGGAGGAGTTCAAGTATCTCGGGGTCTTGTTCACAAGTGAGGGAAGAATGGAGCGTGAGATTGACAGGCGGATCGGTGCAACGTGCGCAGTGATGCGGTCGCTGTATCGGACCGTTGTGGTAAAGAGGGAGCTGAGCCAAAAGGCAAAGCTTTCGATTTACCGGTCAATCTTCGTTCCCTCCCTCACCTATGGTCATGAGCTTTGGGTAATGACCGAAAGAACGAGATCGCGGATACAAGCGGTCGAAATGAGCTTCCTCCGCAGAGTGGCTGGGCACTCCCTTAGAGATAGGATGAGGAGCTCAGTCACACGGGAGGAGCTCGGAGTAGAGCCGCTGCTTCTCCACGTCAAGAGGAACCAGTTGAGGTGGCTCGGGCATCTGTTCCGGATGCCTCCTGGACGCCTCCCTGGGGAGGTGTTCCGGGCACGTCCCACCGGGAGGAGGCCCCGCAGAAGACCTAGGGCACGCTGGAGGGACTATGTCTCTCAGCTGGCCTGGGAACGCCTTGGGGTCCCCCCGGACGAGCTGGAGGAAGTGTGTGTGGATAGGGAAGTCTGGGCGTCTCTGCTTAAACTGCTGCCCCCGCGACCCGGCAACGGATAAAGCGGAAGAAAATGGATGGATGGATGGATACTTTGTGTGTTTTGTTTGAGGGGAAACACCTAAAACACCACTTTTGATGCTCAAAAGCTCAGAGTTCATTCCTGTGAAGGAGACTCCCACCCCCCCCAATCATCAACCAGCTGGCCAAACCAAGCCAAACTAAGCCAAACCAGCAGGCCAAACCAACGGCTAAATGCTGCAACGATAGAAGCAATGATGCAAAGGGTCATCCAGAGGTCCGACTCAAATCAACCACTTGACTCTGTGTGTTTTTGGGACATTTTGCAGATTTCCAAAAAATCTGAAAGACTGGGTTGACCGAAGACATCACCTTTGTGCAAAGATCTGAGGACTGGAGGTTTCCAGTTTTGCTGTCGGTTCTAAAGTGTGTGAACAGGACTGAGGCTTCTGGACATGATGGAGCTGTGCTGGATGGTGCTGGACATTGCTGAATGCAGAAGACATCAGGGTGTAGACACGCCCACACCCTGATGCAGAAGACATCAGGGTGTGGGCGTGTCTACAACAGGCGTTACTGGACAATAGGCTTTTTGGTGTGGTGTTGAAATTGATAACCAAAGTTGACACATTTCAAGTTTATACATTTCAGGTGAAAACATTCCAGTTTAATACATTTCAAATGAACGTTTAGGTTAGAAATGGTGATGCTACATTAATTTACATGAGTAAATTGGGTATTTGTGTCTTTTTCATTTCATACACATGAATAATTAGGAATTATGTTTAGTTATTGAGCCATTTTTAATGTCTCAAACAGGGGGGAGATATGGTTTATGGAGGAGCAATTACATATGAATATGAAATGATCTCTAAAAAAAATGTTTGAGTTCTTTTCTGTGTGTGTTTCTGTAACCAATGTGATTTTTATAAGACACATGTCAAGAGGGGTCTTTAAGTTGAGTCGACGCAACTTGGATTTCAAATGTAATACTGTGTTTGTATTAATTTCATTGTGTTCCATCTTTAATTTGGTTTACTAAACATTGAATGTGATTAATTCTTTTAATGAAAAACAGGAGGGAATGATAGTAGAGTTGTTGGATTTTCATTAAAGTGAATTAGAATATATTCAAAGTTTAGACAGCTTTGGGTTAACCTACGTGTGTGATGGATGCAGCATTCTCCCATCCCCCAGTCATGAGTGAAAGACTAGTCTAAATAAGCAGGAAGCCGAAAACATCTGTTTTCAGTAGATCTCATGTTTATTTAGAGGGAAGCCACGTCTTCTCTGAGGGAGAGGAAGGTGGGACATATTGTTGCATGTGTTTCAAATTATCATGGTATAAGACCAGAGCTCTTTGTCCATTCTTTGTCACTCTGCTGCTACATCTAGCTGACCCAGACTAGACTGTAGTCTGTAAACTAGTCTGTTTGTGCTGATGTCCAGATAACCTGTAGTTTTGAACCAGCGGCTGACAACATGTATTAAAGAGATCATGTTGTTCAAATGTGACTAGTTATTCACACTCCTACATCCAAAAAACTTCTGCCTCATCCACGCCACTAGTGCTCTCCCTGAATCTGCACTTGCAGAACTTAGAAAATGCTTAGTTACACATGACAACACAGCAACTGTTACCAATTTACAAGTTGAACTCCAAAACTTTGTAAAGCAATGGGACAGGTTGGTACAATCACCCTTGGATAACCAGAGAACCAGAGAATTCGAAGACATTAGCTCAGATATGGAAGAAGACATGGACATAACAAGCAAAACCTGTTCCTCTTGCAAAGCTTGCCCCCTGTGCTGCTACAAAATCCTTCTGAGATTCAATATGATGACTCACGCATACCCCCTTCTTGGGTTGGCATACAAGTTTTTGCTGATCCTATCAATATCCCAGGTAGCCTGTGAGCGGTCATTTTCAACCCTCCGCTTCATCAAAAACAGACTGAGGAGTTCCCTGTCTGCCAGCAAGTTAGAAGCATTCATGTTGATGGCCACTGAAAAAGATGTCCTTGTGTCCATCGATAGTGACACAGTTATTGACAGAGTTGCAAAGGGAAGTGAATCTTTGAAGAAACTGCTTTTGTAAGGTATGTTTTTCATTGCCTTGCTTTATATCAGGACAAATCATACATAATATAAAATCAGATGTTGTCAAGCTATTTGTATCTTTTAGTCAATATTCCTGTTTTTGTGCAATGCATATGTATTACTCACTATTTGTCTGTCCAACTCTTTCTCTTTAAGGCTTCCCTGTTCTCCAATCCCAGGGTTCTGCCAGGGATGGGCCTTTCACTGATGTGGACTTCATGTGCATTCATATTTGTAAGTGTTATACAGTACAGTAGTAGTAACTGTAATGAATAAATCTGTCAAGTAATTTTGAAGGTGTATTTGGTTACAAACAAATTGAAATATACATGTCTATTTTGTTGCAAATAAGGAAGGTAACCAGTAATGCATTTTTAATTATATTTTTCATTTTGACAGTCCCATTTTCACCGTTCGCTTTCCTGTACCTAGTTAGCCCCCTTTTTGGCCTTTACCTGATGTGGAGTTCACGTTTGTTCCTATTTTTCTTTGTGAGTTTACTAAATAGTTTTTATTTTAATTCTTGACAGCATCAGATGAATCTAGCCTATCTGACCTCACCTCTTCTTTCTGTCTTCCTCAGAGCTCCCAGGTCTATGCCGCCGTTTGTCTCTCAGCATTTCCAAGTACACAATAAGCTATTATTGTCTTCCTGTTCCTATTAAATTAAGGTTATTCAAACGTAACTAGTCTTTCCTATGTTTGTATTCTCATCTCCCTCTCTTTCTTACTTGGTGTAGGCCCAATTGTCTTATTTGTATTTGTAAGCATTTGAATAAACACTGAAAAGACATCTCTAGCAGTGTTTCTTTGACAACCACTTTCACTTTAACATGGGAATTTTGGTACTGTGTTCATCTCCCTCTCTGAGTAGTGACTTGTTTACTACTCTCTTGTAATGTAGAGCATTGCACTTTATTTTAATTGTTGAAACTGCATACATCATCTATAGTATGTGCTTCCACATGCCGTATAGATATTTGTGAAGAAAAAAAATGAACAAATTTGCCTGGGCCGCCAAGGAGGCAAAAATGCCCGGGCCGTTTTTTGGTGCCAGTCCAGCCCTGGCAGGCTTGATCCTATCAACGGAAATAGTTTCAGGTCTACCCCCAATGTCCACAACCAGGCTCTTGTCCCCATGCTGCAAAACCTTAAACGGGCCGTCGTAAGGGGGACGCAGCGGTCCACGGTGGGCGTCGTGGCGGACGAAAACAAACGACGCAGAGCGGAGGCCAGCGGGCATCCGGGACTCAGGGGAGCAGTGCTGCAACGTAGGAACAGTGCTGCAACGTAGGAACAGGCGCAAACCCCGTGGTCACCTCCCGCAGAGAGGACCGCTGTTCGTTAGCAGACCAAGGTCTCGTAGCATCCGGTATAAAATCCCCAGGCACCCGCAAAGCCTGGCCGTAAACAAGCTCGGCAGACAAGGACTGCAGATCCTCCTTGGGGGCGGTCCTAAGGCCGAGCATGACCCAGGGCAGTTTGTCCACCCAGTTGCCGTCCGTCAGGCTGGCCCGAAGGGCAGCCTTCATAGAGCGGTGGAATCGTTCACACAGTCCGTTAGCCTGGGGGTGGTATGCGGTGGTGCGGTGCAACTTGACACCCAAACCCCCCGCCACAGCATTCCAGATCTCTGAGGTAAACTGCGCACCCCAGTGCGTCGTCCTGTCTACCATCGTGAGGAGGTAAGTGAAACCACGTGAAGGGGGAAGCGGCCCCACCAGGTCAACGTTAACGTGGTCAAACCTCCTCTCCGGAACAACAAAAGGTTCTAATGGGGCCTTGGTATGGCGGTGCACCTCAGCGCGCTGACAGGCCACACAAGAATCAACCCAGGCCCGCACATTCTTCTTGAGTCCTCTCCAGACGAACTTTTGAGATACAAGCCTCACAGATGCCCTTCTGCCAGGATGGGACAGGCCGTGTATAGTCTCAAAAACAGACCGCTGCCAGCTGGCGGGGACCAGAGGCCTGGGCTGGCCGGTAGAGAGGTCACACCACAACCTGACCCCAACAGGCAGGCAGAGCCAGGGGAGGTGTAGCTGCGTGTTGGGGCCAACACGTCAGGGACGAAACGATGGGTGGCCAGGAAGAACCGGTCCGCCTCTTCCGCCAGAGCACGTGGCTCCGTAATGGCTGTATTTGCGAGAGCCGTCTGCACGTGAGGTGGCATGTGTTGCAGAAACAGTTCCATAAAGAGGAAATTTGGCTCTTCACTGCCCAGCAGGTTTAACATCACCTCCATGTGTTCTGAGTGCTTGCTATCCCCTAGGCCCTGCATAGAAAGGAGGCGTCGGGCCCGTTCGGAACGTGACAGTTCAAAAAGCAGATATGCCTTAATACCCGCATACTTCCCGTGCGCTGGAGGAGAAGTGATGAAACTCACTGTCCTGGTCGCCGTGGAGCTCCTGAGCGCCGAGACAACATGGTAATAGCGCGTCTCATCGTCAGTAATTCCACGGAGGGCGAACTGAGCCTCTGCCTGACCAAACCACGTTGCGGCGGACGTCTCCCAAAACTCAGGCAGCTTGAGAGTGGCGGACTGCACCATACTGCTTTGCTCTGTATCTTGATCAGTCCCAGAAACTTCTGTGGGACTGACGTCGGGGTCACCAATGTGGTGCGTAAGGAGCGGAGTCGGAGGCGGTGTGTCAAACAGCGGTGACAAACGTACACGTTTTAATGCCATAAAAAAGCCAGTGATAACAAAACTCCTCACACAACCAAAAACATTTCTCTAGGTAAGAAAACAATGCAACGGTCCCACTCGTCCACCCGGAACCCCACCAGAGTAACCACAGTTCCATGGGTGAATTATGTCAACCACCACAAGTGGACCAAAAAAACCCACCCCCCTCAGCATTGACACACATGTGGAACGGAGCTTTGGGCCAAGAGCCAACTTTTGGACCATCCTGTAAAGACGTTTTTGAGAGGTCTGCCAATGCTTCATGTTAGCATTGGCTAATTCTTCTTCTGGGTCCACCCCCATCGGCCCGGGGTGGTATTGCAGCATGTCAGCGCACGTCATTTTGGCCACTTTTGAGCTGGGACCCGCCCCCACTGGCGCTGACGAGCCGTAGCGCCACTATCTTGGACCGGTCGTCCCCTCCTCTCAGAGTAATCTGTTTAGCAGGCGCAGTGACGAGTCAGCGCATTTAATCAATCATAACTCACTGAATACTTTACCGATTATCACACTTTTTTCTTTACTGTAAACATCACACATGTAGCTATAATACAAGATACATGGTTTGGCGGCTATTATTATTCATAGTGGGTTTAACAGTAATATATTATTCTGATATATTATATGATGTATTTTTGCAAAACACAATGTTGTGTACATACAAAAGTTAGGGACATTTGACTTTCAGGTGAAATGTATGGAAAATTATGCAACAAGTGACACTGAACAGTTATACCTTAATACATGATCGAACCCTTTATATACACAAATATATGATAGAAGCCTGTATAAACACTAAGATAGATAAATATATGATTCTATCAAATAGATGGATTGATATATGGTTCTATCATACCGTAACTAGCAGCAACAGTTCATCCTTATTACAACTGTCCAACAGCTCCTCCGATGGTGACTTGATGAAGTTAGAAGCCATGATCTTCCAAAAAAAAAAAAAAAAACACTCTGGACTGAGACTTTGCCGCTGACTACCTAACCCAAAATCTAAATAACTCAACCCTAGTCTTCAGGAAGCGTGGCGATGGGTTTTTATGCGCTGGCTACCGCTGGTACGGTCAAAACAGTTCTTTCCGTGACCACAGCGCGCTCCCGAGCCGATGACAGGGAAAGGGGAAGTGGATGCTGCGACCCGCACTTACTTCCACACTATGAAAACAAAAAGGAGTGAATTCCATAGGGGAAAACACTCATACAGCCTACCAGAGGAAGCCCCAATCCGAACAAGTGCAAAAAACAAAACAAAAATCCAAAATAATCAAGTTTGAAACAAAAAGTAACCCAAGAAAAATGAGGTCTGCCAAAAAAACTCTGCTCCAGCTCTTGCGCCACCGGCTGCCCAACAAAACCAAACCAACCAAAAACAAAAACTCAACATACAAGTTAACAGACTCCAAACCATGAAAACTAACCTTGTGTGATCTCCCCAAACTGAATGGATAATGAACCTCAATTCAGACTTGACATTTCCACATTTCCAATCATACATTTTCTAGGGGTAAGCAAATAAATTGAAACTTACCCAGGAACTTGGCCCACGAGCCCCCACGTGTTACAACTCTGGCTCAGGAGTAGTAACAACGAGGGGAAACCACACAAGCAATGACCACACTGGATGAACTGCAGATAAACTATAGCTGAGGGTGGGAGACGTTGTCCTTAGGAAACAATCAGTCGTGCACTGCACAAATCTGGCCTTTATGGAAGAGTGGCATGAAGAAGCCATTTCTCAAAGATATCATAAAAGTCTTGTTTCAAGTTTTCCACAAGCCACTGGGAGACACACCAAAACATGTGGAAGAAGGTGCTCTGGTCAGATGAAACCAAATGTACTTTTTGGCCACAATGCCAAAACGATATGTTTGGTGTAAAAGCAACACAGCTCATCACCCTGAACACACCATCCCCACTGTCAATCATGTGGTGGCGGCATCATGCTTTGGGCCGCTTTTCTTCAGCAGGGACAGGGAAGATGGCTAAAATGATGGACGATGGATGGAGCAAATACAAGGACATTCTGAGAAAACCTGTTGGAGTCTGCAAAAGACCTGAGACTGGGACGGAGATTTATCTTCCAACAGGACAATGATCCAAACATAAAGCCAAATCGTACAAGGAATGTTCACAAATAGACGTATCAGGTAGAATGGCCAAGTCAAAGTCCAGCCTGAATCCAATCGAGAATCTGTGGAAGAGCTGAAGACTGCTGTTCACAAACTCTCTCCATCCAAACCTCACTGAGCTCGGGAGCTGATTTGCAAGGAAGATGGAGTAAGAATTCCAGTCTCTCGAAGTAAAAACTGGCTAGCGACATACCAGCGACCCACAGATCCTCATAATAGTGGTAAATATTAGGGATGTAACAATATTGACGATATCGCGGTAGTAAAAGTGCCTCGATATCGTCGTGGTCTTGTTACAATATTTAAACGGACAGTTATCCGTCAAAAACAACTAGAATAAGTCGGATCCCGCGGAAAAAAACATTGTAAACTACATAGACCATGATCCTTTGCGCTGCGTCGTCACAACAAATGAGCTGTTGAGCCAATAGGAGCGCATGTTTTACGCTGTAGTGTCCACACAACAAGTGAACATGGCGGTTAGCGGCGACCAAAGTGGGGCTCCCGTGGATACTGATGAAAACGCCCCCGAAGTTGTGCCAGCCCCTGCAGCTTTTAAGTCAGACGTATGGCAGCATTTTGGTTTCGCTGTGTCAAAAAATGCTAAAGGAGAGAGGGTGGCGGACAAACAATGGACCATGTGCAAACACTGTCACTCGAAATCACGATACACCAAGGGAAACACCAGCAACATGCGGAGCCATCTGACGACCCATCACCTTGAAAAGTTTACAAAGAAAGTCACGTCAGGTCAAAAAACCTTACAGGAGGTATTTTTGACAACTATGCCACACAACAGCACAAAGGCTCAAGAAATCACGAAGTACATCGCGGAATACATAGCGTGTGATTTACGTCCCTTTTCTGCAGTAGATGGAAAAGGATTTAAAAGGTTAGTGGCTAGTTAATTAATAGACATGCATCTATTGTACATGTTTGTGGATGTTTTCAACAGGCGGTTTTTATTTGCCTACTACTTTTCGTTTTATGCTTTTTTACACATTTGAACCAGACTTGAGCTGAAGGGAATTCCCTTTTGTTTTTTGTTTACAGTTCTACAGCTCAACAATATATTGATGTGAATGACTTGAGGTTGCACTTTAAAAGCATTAAGTGATGCTGCATGAATATAACAATAAATGCCCTGACTGGCAAAATTTGCAGTTTAAATGTCAGTTTTTTATTATCATCATCATAAACTCAATATCGTGAGCTATTTTACAATACCGTGAGCCTCTCCACAATATCGCAATAAATATCGTACCGTGAGCTCAATAACGAAATCGTATCGTATCGTGAGATTATGATATCGTTACATCCCTAGTAAATATCTGAGACAAACATGAACGATTTACGAGTGCAGGAGGAAAGCAACAAACGCAGCTACGATTCAAACAAAGACAGGAACAGTGCAAAACAAACGACTGCACAGTTTATAAGTTATATATATGTTAGATATAAGTTATATATATGTTAGATATAAGTTATATATATGTTAGATATAAGTTATATATATGTTAGATAGTCCACAGTCTCCTGTATATCAGGCTCTGAGCCCAAACTGCTTTTCCTTCGAAGCACAAAGCTCTCTGCTCCATAGTGCCTCGTCCATGCTCCTGCTGCAGCCGCTTCATGCTTCCGCCAAATACACACACACGGACCAATCACAGCGGAGCTTCCTTGCGGCGACCCTTACGTAGTTAGAAAATGTCGATGCTGCGCGGCAGGCGACGTAAGGGCCTTGCGGTGACCAACGCGTTGCGCAAGTGACATCACGTCACCTCCGTAAGCTCCGCGCAGCCCCCACTATCACCATATAGTGTCCTAAATCATTGTCAATGCTGCA